CGGAATATGTCGGCGAGCTCGATAATGCCCTGTGCAATGTCCTCGATTTCGCGCTCGCGTTGGATGATGGCCGCGTCGTTGGACTGCAGGAGCTTTTGCTGCGTTGCTTGGAGCGTCGATTGTGAGAAGGACCTGTCGGCGTCCGACTCGACCATGGACGGGTCGAGGTACGAGTTGGAGGGCTGAGGTGTTGATCCTCTTTCGCCTGGCACGCCTACGCCGCCTGTGCTGAGACCGCTCATCCCGCGTAGTTCTACGCATATTGTTAGCGTGCCATTTTCTCCTTTTATATCCCGCGGTACTGACTTTTCAAGTATGCGCTTTGCTTCTTTCTGAAGAGCGCGCTGGCTTCCTGCACCCGCGAAGCCAGGGATATCTGGATGTTCTTTGCCATGGTCTCCTCCGCGCTGGTAATCGTTCCAGAATGCTTCGAGTCCCTCACCATCTGCTCAACCCGTTGAATGCAACCATGGCAGTCGTGAAACCCCTTTGTGATCTGCTGCGTGAGCCTCTCAATTTCCCGCTCCTCGGCCTTTTTCGCATCCTCATCGTTGAACCCCGGCAGTACGTGTTTCTGGTGCAGGCGCTCGAGGGCCTGGCTCCTGGTAGCAATATCGGCGAGGAGGTCGGTGATCTCGTCGGATATGTCGGCCCAGCGTGGGGGTAGGAGGTCCATCTCTATGACGGCGTCGCCATCATCTTCGAAGGCGCCGGCCGAGAGAAGGCCGCGCGTGTCGTCGTTGCCGCTGGCGTAGCTGGTGTTCCCCGGGAAGCTATCGCCGAAGCCATTCCCACCGGCCGCGCTACCGCTGTACTTTGTCCGTTTTGTCGGGTGGTGCGCGTACGACTGCCGATAGGAAATGTAGCTGGAGGTCGGAATGCGTTGTTAGCAAATCAGTAATCGATCTTGGTTCCCGTCCAGCAAGCTGAAGGCAGAGTAGCCCAGGTGAAGACGATGCGGGTATTGTGAGAGCGAACAAGGGCGACTAAACGTACAGATTCGTGCGGTCTCGCCACATAGCGGACGCCAGAGTAGGCCGCAATGGCGCTGCTCAGCCTGGTGTCCTTTGTCGCTCGCTGCGCGGGCCGCTCAGGGTCGCCGTCATGAACGAGAGGTCGCAATTACGGAACAGGACACCATTGGCGTTGGTCGAGCACAAGGTTGCGGCGACGTGGATGTTGTGTGGTCGAGGGAGTCTTTTAGGAAATGTACGTCAGATTAGATGATTTAGTTGTGTCAAGGGCGGAATTGGTTCAGCTCTCTAATACCGGTAAAGATCCCAGGTCTGGCCGGCTTTCAGCTTCGGGTCGCAATTATTAATTAGCAGAAAGCGATTGATTTGTGGTTAATTTGGAAGATAGCCAAGTCAAGCCCTCAACAAAAGACAAGCACGGATACGTAGGGAAGCTCTTGGATCACAAGTCAAGGTGATAGGATGAAAAGGTAAAGTGAGTTGAAGTACGTGGTGGTAGTGGTGGTGTTGGTTGATTATGCCACCCTGTGTAGAGATGCGCCGACAAGCTTGCATTAACTCGCTGATGAAATGGACAGGTATCGCATGCCAGGATGGGAGCCTTTGGCAACGGGGACGGATTGCGTCAGGTCCACGGGTCTCATTCAGTTGTCTGCGGATTGAGCCGCGTGTGGGCCGGGCCAAATCCCAATGGCTCCGTACCGTCGAGGCAACCTGCCTCTAAGAGGGACTCTGTAAGGAACCTTCAGGTACCTACCCAGCTAGGTACCTTGCCTTAGGTACCTTAGGTTGGCGACGCGGCACTGCTCGACGTCAATTGGTGTGCTGTTCTTTATGCATCCGCCGCTTGAGGGTGTCTTATGTCAGCTTTTTCTTCCACTCTGTACTCAATTTAGGTGAAGATGGAATGCAATGGATGAGAAATAGGTAGGTACGGAGTACAAGTGGGCCAGACAGTGGGCGTAATGGGACGCCTGGACACCTGGCACCTTCCAGACCGTCCGTCCAAACCGTCATCCTTTCATTCAGGGGCCTTTCTCTACTATGTAGGTAGGTACTCCGTAGCTTAGGTTCGGTGACACCGCCAAGTGCACAGCGACCCCTGGCACCATAGATTGGCCCATCAGGCTAGGAGACGCGGTGACTTGACACGCTGAGAGATGAAGCTACCGTCCTGGAAAGGCGCCCGCTGCCCAATGGTCAAGGCAACCTATGGCTGTCCCGGTCAGCCACAGACTGAGCAGGCGGCCCGTCAGCTTCGACCCTTCGACGCCCGCGGCCCCCCTATCGCCCGACGTTCTCCCCCGGTCTGCCCCATCTCTCCCCACGAGCTGCACACTACAGAAAAGCTCGACCCCCCAAAGGCATCCAGTAGCATCTAATCTGGCCAAGGCTTCCGAATACTTTCGTGAACATCTTCCAACTCCATACCATACGGCCCCATTCGACGTAGACCGCTTTCAGAACCAGTCCCGTATTCTCACAACAAACCATCGTCAACATTCGCCATGGTCAGTTGTCCGAACTCCGAGCTCCGTCCTCTATGCCGCCTTTATGCTACCTCTCGTGAGGTGACCCCGCGACTGAGGGGCTACCGACGCTATTTTCGGCGAGCTGAACTGACACGGCTACCCTCAATCTAGGCTGACTCCCTCACCGAAGAGCAAGTTTCCGAGTTCAAGGAGGCCTTCTCCCTCTTTGTAAGTCACTCCGAGTTCGTCCCGGACGAAGTTTCTTTTCCTCAAAAGGTACTTTCGAATGTGAGCTGACCCATTCATACAGGACAAGGACGGCGATGGTCAGTACCTGGTCCCCCCCTTTCCCTTTCTCTCGACCCCGCGCCAGTACAATCTCGACTCCCGCGACCGCTTCGATACGAGATCAGCATTGGGACATTGTCGAGATTTGATCATGTGGATTTCAGGGCACGGAGCTAAAGAATACGGACAGGACAAATTACAACCAAGGAGCTCGGCACCGTCATGCGCTCCCTGGGACAGAACCCCTCCGAGTCTGAGCTTCAGGACATGATCAACGAGGTTGACGCCGACAACAACGGAACGATCGACTTCCCTGGTAGGTCTACACAATAACCACTGGCAATCATGCACACGAAAGCGACTCGCTGACGAATAATCTGGCAGAGTTCCTCACCATGATGGCCCGCAAGATGAAGGACACCGACTCCGAGGAGGAGATTCGTGAAGCCTTCAAGGTGAGACGAGCTAGTGCAACCCGCACGTAGACAACGCTGACCAGAGAAAGGTCTTTGACCGCGATAACAACGGCTTCATATCCGCCGCCGAGCTTCGCCACGTCATGACTTCAATCGGCGAGAAGCTCACCGACGATGAGGTTGATGAGATGATTCGCGAGGCTGACCAGGACGGCGATGGACGCATTGACTGTAAGAACGCGACATCCGTGTTCACGCTGCTCATTGCTCACCTTGCTAACACACGTTCCCAGACAACGAGTTCGTCCAACTCATGATGCAGAAGTAAGGCGTCAAGTTGGTCGAGCGGCTGTAGGTCGAACCTATTCACGGTGACATTGGCCGCGCAGCATTTGTTCCTTGCGAGAAACGACACGAACGGTCCTCAAAGGGCCAGGCTGGTCAGAAGGTATTCTTTTAGACCGTGGGAGTTGGCATACGAGAATAACCAGCGAAAGGACGAGTTTGATATTCGGACGGTTGAGGGGGGCTCTATGCATTCGTCTCGCTGCCAGCACGCTTGCCTGTTTCATTTCCGTTCTATCACGATGCTTATTTAACGAACACACTCTCCTACACCTACACCGACACAGACACAAGACACATTCTGAATGACACGGGAGTTACGCTTAGAAGGGGGTCTCCTCCAGGGCGGCGAATGCAAAAGTCAATCAACCCGGCGATTTCATCGAGTGCAATTGCGAAGCTTGACGATGCTTGTGATTTGGTACCAGGCGCGTGAATGCTGCCATGGCTTCTCCGCGGCGAGCATCACATGCTGAAATATGACGCCAACAACTGCGTTGAGCACTCGCTAGGTGGGCAAAGTAGTCTGTTGCACCCAGGCTGATAATGACAGCGGGCAACAGAGGCACTGTGTAAGCTTGTTCATCAAAGGACGGAGTCATGAAGATGGATAGACGATCACGTTGTGCCACACGTATTATCCATGACCCGGTACATGCTGAGCCAGAGAGCTAGGCCGGCAGAGCAATCTAGCTTGGCAGGGCTGCAGGCACCGCCCCGATCCGCCCCTCTAGATGTTCCAAGTATGCGTATCGCATAGTGAAGCAAACCTTGAACTGCCATCCGTTGTCGTGACTATCTGCTGCTTGGATGGTCTGGACTATCTTGGTATAGTGCACGTGAGGTTGACAACAAGCTGCACGACGCATCGTCAATGCTGCTTCTAGGGAATTGATATTCGGAGTCTAAGTTGGGACTATGGACTGAATAAAATGTGAACCGGATGTAGCATGGGAAAGACCGGGTTGGAAGCTCTTCAGGTCTTACAAGACTCGGGAACATGAGGTGTTATCTTGGTGGTGAAGCCCAGGCACACAAGCCAAGATCGCATTAGCTTAGAAACATGGATGCCAGCTAGCATCTTAAGGTACAGTATCCGTAAGGTAAGGTACTACACGACACGCTGAAGGACCCCTAAAGCCCCCTATCAAAGGTCAATGGCCTTTGAAGTACCATATAATTCGTTTGCGCCTGAAATGTAGGGCCAAGTCCACACGTCGGCCCCACACCTGTGACGGCGCTGCACGGTGCACCTCCAATGCCAGGCCACGGATGCATGTCGCTCAACCCGCCGGGCCTGACATCCTTGGCCCCGTCTATCTGGTCTATTCGTCGGTCCTTAGCAAGTCTACCGGAACACGACCCTCAAAGACCTCCTCGATAATCGCGACTCGCCCTTTCGAGAGCTCTCGACGAGCTTGCAACCCCCTCCGTGCAATTCTCTCCTCCAGGCCCCAGCTACCTGTCCAAGGCCCTCCGCGGGCCCATTCCCCCGGTCGCCCAACATGAGTTCTTGTATGATGAAGCCCCTCTGTACCTGTGACGGTGGCCTGGAGCTGACCTAGGTGACACTCCAGTGAAGCAGTTCATCCGCAACGTTCGCGCCGCCAAGACCATCGCCGACGAACGAGCCGTTATTCAGAAAGAGAGCGCATCCATCCGAGCAAGCTTCAGAGAAGAGAGCGGCGACCACAGCGTGAGGTGCGCAATGGATTATGACCCCGAAAGAAAACCCACCACGGATCGGGGCTGACGTTTAATCACTAGGCGGAACAATGTCGCCAAGCTCCTATACCTTTTTACCCTCGGTGAGAGAACACATTTTGGTCAGATCGAATGTCTTAAGCTGCTGGCCTCTCCACGGTTCGCCGACAAGCGACTGGGACATCTCGCCACCAGTTTGCTGCTTGACGAAAACCAGGAGGTCTTGACGCTTGTGACAAACTCACTACAGAAGTAAGGCCCGGCAACACATTTTGGCCATTGACACCATAGCTGATATGGAATAGTGATCTCGCCCACTCGAATCAGTATGTCGTCGGTCTGGCCCTTTGCACCCTGGGTAATATCGCCTCCATTGAGATGTCGCGAGACCTGTTCCAGCAAGTCGAAGCCTGCGTCAACACATCGAACCCGTATATTCGAAGGAAGGCGGCGCTCTGTGCCATGCGGATATGTCGCAAGGTCCCAGACCTGAAAGAGCACTTCGTCGACAAGGTCAGCAACCTGCTGGCCGACCGAAACCACGGCGTCCAGCTGTGTGGCTTGACCCTGGCAACCAGCTTCTGCGAGGCTGACGAAGAAGAAGATGCGGATGGTGATGAGGACATTGTCGAGAAGTTCAAGATCTTTGTACCGAACCTGGTCAAGACACTGAAGGCTCTCGCAACCTCTGGATATGCTCCCGAGCATGACGTCACAGGTATCAGCGATCCGTTTGTGCAAGTCAAGATCCTCCGCTTCTTGAGGGCCTTGGCTACGGGCGACGCACATGTCAGTGAGCAGATCAACGATATTCTGGCACAGGTTGCGACAAATACGGACTCCTCCAAGAACGTCGGAAACTCCATCTTGTATGAGGCCGTCCTCACGATCCTCGATATCGAGGCGGATTCTGGTCTTCGCGTACTCGGTGTCAATATTCTGGGCAAGTTCCTGTCCAACCGCGATAACAACATCCGTTACGTTGCGCTCAACACTCTTATCAAGGTGGTCGCCATCGAGCCAAACGCTGTCCAGAGACATCGCAACACCATTTTGGAGTGCTTGAGAGACCCGGATATCAGCATCAGGAGGCGAGCGCTCGAACTCAGCTTTACGCTCATCAACGAGAGCAACGTGCGGGTCCTCATTCGGGAGTTGCTTGCATTCTTGGAGGTCGCCGACAATGAGTTCAAGCCTACCATGACCAGTCAAATAGGCATTGCTGCCGACAAATTTGCACCGAACAAGCGCTGGCACGTCGACACCATGTTGCGAGTGTTGACGCTCGCCGGCAATTATGTTAAGGAGCCTATCATGTCATCATTTATCCGACTGGTGGCCACTACCCCTGAACTGCAGACCTACGCCGTCCAGAAGCTTTATATCAACTTGAAGAAGGATATTACGCAGGAGAGTCTTACACAAGCTGGAGCGTGGTGTATCGGCGAGTACGGCGATGCCCTATTGAGAGGTGGGCAATATGAAGAGGAAGAACTGGTTCGTGAGGTTAAGCAGCACGAACTCATCGACTTGTTCACGACTATCCTCAACAGCAATCACGCAACCCAAGTTTCGACCGAGTACATCGTGACGGCGCTCGTTAAGCTCACGACGAGATTGTCGGATCCCGCGCAACTGGATCGCATCCGCCGGCTGCTTGAAGTCCATCAGACAAGTTTGGATGTTGAGGTTCAGCAAAGAGCTGTTGAGTACACCAACTTGTTCTCGTACGACCAAATCCGCTCTGGTGTTCTTGAGAAGATGCCGCCTCCTCAAATCAAGGAGGAATCCCGCGTACTGGGCGCGGCGACCACCACAAAGAAGGCCAAGGCCGCCAACAGGAAATCGAGGGTCGTCAAGCCAACCGAGCAGGATCTCCTATTCGACCTTATGGACACCCCTCCAACAACTACTCCTGCCGCCGGTGGCGCCTCTAACACCGACCTTCTCGCCGACATTCTGGGCGGTACCTCATCGCCCCCCACATCGACATCTCCTGGCCCGCAACAATCCCAGGCAGCCTCTATCATGGACCTCTTCTCCCAAGGTCCTGCCCAGCCCGTGGGCTCTCCTGTACCAGTTATGGGTGGCTCGAACATGGACCTGATGTCTTCCATGTCCGCCGTGGCAACCCCTCCGCCCCAGGCGCAGGCCGCCCCGCAGGCACCCGCAGGCCTTCCTGTCTACGACAACAATGGTCTCAACGTCAGCTTCCAGATCCAGCGCAATGCCGAGGGTCTTGTTCAGGTTATCGGTCGCTTCAGAAACTCAGGCCCCGGTCCTTTGTCGAACGTAGGATTACAAGCAGCTGTTCCCAAGACGCAGAAGCTGCAGCTCATGGCCATTTCGAGCACGGATGTTGGTCCTGGCGCCGAAGCCACCCAGAGAATGATTGTGTCTGGAGCCAAGGGAGTATGTTTCTTCCCCGTCTTTGCTTTTGTACTTTTTCATCAGATTGCTAACTTTCTCGCAGCCGCTGCGACTACGTCTGAGGATTGGGTACGGGCATTCGTCTGCCGGAGAAGTGATGGACCAGGTGAACTGGACCGAGCCGTCCTGATTTGGCGCATGTTCTCTTCGGGCGGTGGCGTGGACTTGTATGCTTACGATGACAAGGCAAGCGTATTGAAAAATAGAAAGATCTGCGAGGATGAAAGATTGGGGGCAATTAAAAGCACACCGTCGTTGAAACCACCTGCTTCTTACTGAATTTGACCCGTGATGACATAACATATATAGCTCTGGTGTCGACGTAGCAATTTCTACCTATGCGTCGTTGTCGTTGTGTTGTAGTGCTTGGCCAAGTGCGGGACAATGGAATGTACACACTTCACTAAGCTCACCGACCTCGGTGCAGGCATTCACCCATCCATCCATCCATCCCACCTACCTCTGATAGCGGGGCCAACATCAATTCCAGAAATCAGATGTATCAACCGCGTACAAGCTTCCTCGCCATCAAACATAGTCGTTTCCTCATTCACCCTCCTCAAGCTCGTGCATATACCTACACTTTTCAAAATATGGGCAAGGAGGTGGGGGAAACGTCGACGTCGCATACCGAGCGCACGGCGGCTCAACCCCGGGATTCTGTAGGAAGCCGCCCACCTCCAAGCTATTGTGCTGTCAGCAGTACCTATGTGCTCATGAAGAAAGACAGACATTGCACAGCGTTACACTTGTCAGAGTCAATGCCGTAAACGAAGAAATCCGTCTCTTCCGGCTTGGGGTAAAGGAGGGGTCGAAGATTGAGGTACGTTCGGCATCCACAATTTCCTGCCGCCTTCAAAGGATGAGGTTTACATACGCGACTTACATTGCGCGGAAATGTCCCCGCCTCTGGCCGTGGCTCCCGGTTTACCTCTCACTTGGCCAGGCTCTTGATCCGATGTGACTTACTCATTGCGGGAAAACAGTTCCTCCCAGGCCAATGGCTGGACACCTACGTCCCCGGCGTGCCCAAGGCAGGGGGCTTCACCCTCACCAGCCCGCCGTCCAAGGCCGTCCTACCAAGATCCGCGTACCTCGAGCTCGCGGTGCAAAAGTCGCCGACGAACCCGGCCGCCGCTTGGCTCTGGGAACAACCTGTCGATGACGAGAATGAAGACCCCTCCCAGGTAGAGAAGAAGCCAGAGATTCAGGTCCGCGTCGGCGGGTCCTTTGTCTGGCCGCCCCCGGGAATTGCTGACTTGGCCTCCCTGCGGCGAATCGTCTTCATTGCAGGCGGCGTCGGTGTGAATCCGCTGATGAGTATCGTGAGTCACCTGGCTGAAGGGGTTGAAGGGAAGGGCGGCTGCCCGTACGATGTCCAGTTCATGTACTCGACAAAGGTGTCGTCGTCGGCGTCGCCGCCAGAAGAGTCTGGCGAGGACAGCCTCCTCGATTCCGAAAAGATCCTCTTCATGGAGCGGCTGGCGGCTATTTTCGGCCGGGAAAAAGTCCGTGGCCAGATGAGGTTGTTCCTCACCGGCCTCGGTCCCGGGATCGCATCCGGTGAGCCCGTTCTACATTGCAACGAGATGGACGTCCCGTTCAAGAGGCGCCGTATGGGCCTCGGAGACGTGGCGGAAGCCTTGGGGCCCGAAGCGGAACGCGGTGATGCGTTGGTGTACGTCTGCGGGATCCTGTCCATGACTGATGAGTTGGTCGAGAGCCTCACATCGAAGAGCGGGTTGAATCTCAGACCTGAACGGGTTCTGTGTGAGAAGTGGTGGTGATGTAGAGCCTTCGGGAGTTGTCGACACCTTACGAGATTGGTTTGTTCCTCCTCAGGCCTAAATGATAAGGTATAGCTCTGAGGAGTGTACAGGTTCTACTTGTGATGTGTGAAATCGGAATTCTTGTGCAAATGTTTTGGGTAAACCAGTGCAAATACACTGCTCATAGAGGACCTTGGAGTAACTGATAAGCAGAGGGAAAAGTGACAACGACTTTCTGCAGTGTTTGATTTGAGCGTGCTTAGATTTCACGGAGGAAGTCGCTGGTTTCTGTCTTCGTCAACGCCACTGATAAGGTCGCATGGTCTTTACTCCGACCAGGCTCGTCGACATCTATTAAAATCAGAAGCAACATTCTACCTCAATGGAAGATTTATAACGCAATAATCCTGTTCAAACACTTCCGCGTTAGTGGCAACGTATTTAATAATGTTTACCTTGTGACAGACGCATAGTAGCTAGGATAAGACTATTCAATGTCTATGTATATCTGTCTCATCAAGTCAGCATCAAGAAGCCCCTAAACTATATAGAACAAAATAATATTACCATTACATCGATCCTTAGAGCTTGTTTTCCGGTGAGTTATCGCATTTTCCAATGCACCAATAACGGTTCACTTCCGTTTCGGTTCCTTGTTCAGCAAAGCTGTGAATTTCCGTCTACTGAACATAGTAATGTGAGCCTCTCAGTTTTCATGGCTAGGAGCTTCCAACATGTCTTAGAAACATACAGGCCTCTTCTGAATATGATCAGTGAATTGGCCACTGAAGTGCTCCGTTCCTTTCAGCAAACTCGTGCCTATGATCAAAATAGTCCTACAGATAACCCGAATTCGTCTTCTTGAACCCGGAAGTCTCATTGGTCTTCATTCCTCCCTCGAACACTCCACTTGTTGAGATTCAATCTGCCATGCCTGCGACGCAAAGGCGATGGACTCCGCTTGAGCCATTCTCCTTCCGAGACGCTCACGTTGTCAAAGTTATCGACAGTTGACGCCATGCCGGGGTTAGAACCGAGGCGCCTGGGATCTCGAATGGAATAGTCTGAGAAACTCAGACTGCTGATAGATGAACCTCGCAGCCTCATGGCGCTCGCACGCGCTGCTGCAATATAATCTTGCCTCCCAACCCTGTTAAATACCTCCAAGCCACCCGTAGAAGGAGGGCTCATGTCATAGTCGGATGAAGACGCTGGAAGTCCCAGGGGCGGAGATGGGAGAGGACGGCGAGGATGTATCTTAGGGAGCTCTTGAGATAGAGAGGGCAGCGTCACCTGTCTGGCAACTCCAAGCTCAATCTCGTCACAACCACTCGACTCGTCAATGTACGGTAAGAGCGATGGTGTGACTGAAGGTGCCCTCGTCGATTCTAGTGACTGCCTGCTGATCGATGGTTCAAAGTCAGGAAGCATTGGCAGAGGTCGAAGAGGGTCTGACACCTTCCGAATCTCTCGCGCTAGCTTGCTGGGTTGAGGCATCCTGGTCGTTTTCAGGGCCGGAGGAGCGAGCTTGGGTGGTGTTTCAAGGTAGAAGTCTCTCTCGGCAGGCGAATTCTGCCTCTCTCTAATCTTGTTCCGACCTTTGTTACTGTCCTCAAAGACTAGACCGTCAAGGGATTCGAGGCCAAATGGTCTCGGGTGGGTTCGAATATAGCTTCCAGTCTCATTGTGGTTTGGCGTCTTTGGTCTGTCAGGCAAATGTCCACTCTGTGCATCCGAGGCCATCAGTTCCTCATAATGCGCTTCTGAGACCAAGTTCAGCGCCTTCAAGTTTCCCCAAGTGCGGTAGAAGAAGCGGAAAGCGGCGAATGGAGAGTCAACAGGGTCGATAAGGGCCCAGTCGTAGAATGTGAGATCTTGAGGTAACTCCACGAGGCCGCCGGTTGGTGATCTATGTCATGGATCAATTCAGTCGAAGTGTTGGAGTGGATTATGAAAAGGAAACCTTACGTGATCCCGTATTGATCTTGACTGCGAAAGTCATCAAGTTGAGGCGCCCTCCTCCTTCGTCCGTAGGATCGGAAAATCTGAAGGTCGATGAGGCCGCCATCCATGGCAGCGGAGGTCTCGGAGCGCAGTGTGAAGTGAAAGAAACGTTTCTCAATGCCTTCACGCTTATAAGTGACGCCACACTCTCGATAATGCCACTTGGTATCGGGCTCGTACAGAGCATGACTAACGATCTGGCTCTGGGTGGCTTGCGACTTGATACCCCAAGAAACTACTTGACGACCGTTCATGGTCATTCTGAAGTACAGGAATTTGCTATCCGTGGGAGGTTTGTTGATTGAGTATCTCAAGTGGAACTGGGATCCTGTATAACCTACGTCAATTCTGGCCAATTGGTGTAATGCGCTGAGGAAGCAAGCTAAAGTAGTGACAGACCTGGCGACGAGGGAATGTAGACGGATGTCGTCGGTCTGCACTTCTCTGGCGTTGACGTGAAGCTGGAAGTCGTGGTCGACATCGGGCTTGCTGCATGATGACCCCGAAGTCGGACAGAGGAGGACTCGGGGTGAGGGAGCTCGGGCAACCCCTCCATGTTGTGACCGGGCACGATCGAGACGTCGATGCCCCTGAAGCTAGGCATTGTGTCTGTGTTGCTGACGATTGGTTATGCTTGGGCGAACGAGTTCGACGAGGTCTCCCATGGAACTAGCCAAGTTTGCAGAACAACACTTGAGGGAAAGGAAGGGAATGGTGATTAGTGGCAGCTATGAGGGTAGTCGAGGGGACGTGGAAGCAGTAATTTGATCGGGTTGGTATTTTGGGAATATACGTCTAGAAACTGGTAGGTGAGGTAGGAGTGAAGCGTATTGAAAGTTTGGACTGAGTGCGAATCGTCGACTGCGTCGGTTTTTCTTCAGGGCAGGTGCGGCTTCTGGTGAATTGCAGTCTGCACCTTCCCTCAGTACGTATACTAGCTACCTTGCTCTGGCCGCCTGCTCCTGCCGCCGTTCTTCGCAAATTTCGCCGATAAGGTTAAGCTCCATACTTAGGTACGTTGTCGATTGCTTCCCTTTCGTTTACCTACATACGCAGACTTCTCAGATGGCGTATGGGAAGCCCACCGCTTTGAGGTTAGTAACAACATAACACCGCCACAACCACCACAACCATACATATGTTCGGTGACTCCTCAACGCATTCAAATCTTCTAATGCAGGAGATGTGTCTCGTCTCAGGTGAGACTGGCACCTCTCTAGATCCCCGAACAGCACGCAAGCGATCCACCTCCATGCACTGAAAAGAAAACTAGTGTTGATCATTTGGTGCTTGCAGAAGCTACCTATTCGGTTCGCGCCATGTACATGTTTGTCTCGCCCCTCTCGAGCCCGGCTCTAACTTTATCTCGTTCAACTCGACCCCGTTACGACCTTCGTGTCGTCCTCCTTGCCGAGTAGCCCTAGGTTGCGTATTTGCCCCGCGCTCGGTGCGTTGTCTCGTGCACTGGCAGACTCAGCCTTTCGGTAGGCAGCCTGGAGCGCTCTCGTTCTCGCAGCCTATATGTGTTCGTGTCACTGGTTAGTGATCGGTCCTCTGGTGATAGGTATGCCGGGGTTGAGGGTTCGAGGGATTGAGGGATCGAGGGGTCTGACAGACCTCCTTCTTGTGGTGCAGGCACTCGTAGTAGTCCTCCAGAGCCAATCCGCACTTCTTCTTCTCTGAGTGATCCTCGCCGTTGGTGTTGACGACATAGCAGCCAAGAAGCTCCTGCCAGTAGGGGAAGCACCGCGATGGGCCTAGCCGGCGTCACAGAATCAGTACGGCATCAATGGCGACGGGAATGGGCAATTACCTCCGTGAAGTCCGTATCCAGAGGCCATTGTGGATATACAAGCGCCGATTGGTGGGTTGGTGAAGCTTCAAGTCGTCGGGTACTGTCGTGGAAACGCAATCGCGAAGTCGAAAGTCTGGAAGGTGGTTGTGCCAATGGAAGAGTCCGCGGCTGTCTGGCAAATATTGTCCTATCAGAAGGTACTTGATTCCAATAGCACTTCCGCCGGGACCGTGAGTTCTCGGGGCTAGCGCGCGTCTATTCCTCCCTGGATTGACCCGCTTGCTTGCCAATCAGAGCACCTGGCACTCAATCCACTCAGCACCTCAGGCAAGGTACCTTCTTTGGTATCTGATGACGAAAGCTAAGTGCATGCACCCCAAGTCCCCAACTGAACACGCTTCGGGGAGTTGGACCTTGATGCCCGTGCCTGTGCCCACTTGCACTTGCGCTTGCACCTGTCGACTTACCCAGCGCTCCGATATACCGACATCGGTTCGCGATAGCTCCTCTGACCAGCTGAGTCCAGCGCTTCATGGTCAGCTCGCAGTAAAAGTTCCCGACAACACACTAGACTGGATATGCCTCGGACCCTTGCAGAATGAGCCTCGTCCTGTCCCCGCCGAAGCTTGTGCTTTTGGCTGTCCACTTAGCCATCCACGCCGATATTGAAAGCCTGGCCTTTCTTGCCTCTCGACATGCTACTGTCCTACGCAAGGACCTCGTTCTGCGCGTCCTCTTGACCTATCTGCCCGAGACAGTTAGTTCTAGCGATTACCTTTCCTTTTTGGAGGAGCTTTCGACTGGCGAATTCATCGACCGCGAAGCTGAGAACATCGACCACTCTATCGTCGAGAACTTGTCGGACGAAGACGCTGCGAGAAAGGTTCGCAAACTCCACTTGCTACCGTTAGCTAGGAAGGATATCACGGTCGAAACCGACGACGATCCATTGACTTTATTCCTCCTCCACCGAGCACACCGTGTCGACGAAGAGGCCGGCCTGCTCAACCAGCTTCCCGAATTACTTGGCCCTTTTATACAATATGCTCCAGGTATCCGGGTCTGGATGGTCTCAACCTTGTTGCCACTGCTAAGGAGGAATTACGAATACTACCCGACGGAAAGCGTGCCCTATACGTTGGCCGAGTTTCAGAGTCTCCCAGATGGCGCCGCCGTTGATGCTCTTTTGTCCCAGACGGGCGCGCAGCCAAAGGATTAT